ATACTTAATGTCCCTGGTTTAGGAGCTTCATAATCCAAGATAGTGAAAGTCTAGACAGAGCACTTTTTCATTTATCTACCAAATGATGTGGGAAAGTTAAAAAGTAACTTTAAACCAATATTTTAAATAATTGGATTATGAGTAATTTCAACTTTGCTCAAGGAAAGAGTTTCAAAATTGGAAAAAAGAACTTAAAATGGGATAGTCGACTTCAATTCCTTTCTCTACTTGGGATTGCTAGAGTAAAGTTTCATTATTTGGCTTAAAGTGTCTATACTAATAAAAGAGTAATATGCTAATTAGACCCGATAGACTGGAAGTCTTCCAGGCATCCTTCCTGACAAAGCCACAATGGCAAGGGCCAAGGCAGAGACAGTTAGAGGTGATCAGGCCAGCAGGGGAGAGCAATTAGGGGCATTAGGCAGGCAGACAGGTAAGCAGTTAGGATTCAGCATTTCTGGATTGTGAGAGGGATGTCCCAGATTGGGGAGAGGGTGCAGGCAGGGCTGAGGGAACTCCCTCCCTTACCCCTATGCATGAATTTTGTGCACTAGGCCTCCAATTTATGTATATAAAGGGCTAATACGCTAAGTGTTCCTCCCTCTGTCACATCAGTCACTATCATACAAGTGGAACGCTGGGGGCAGATGCTTCACGCAGGGGCTGCCGAGCTGCAGTGACTTGCCAGCAGCAGTTCTCGGGTGTTGCAACCTGAAACCAGAGAGGAGGGAGTCCAGTTCCTCGCAGGGCTGTGTGATTCCACCTTCGGCCATGGGTTATGTAGTTGCTGGGGCACTGCCAGCCCTGAATCTGGTTTACTGCACACTTGCGTTTGCTTTCCACATTCTGTACTGACAGCAACTGTGCTCCAGGACCCCTCGGGGGATGTCAGACTGCCAGCTTTGACCTGATCCCCGCAGGCCAGGCTGAGAGACCCCACCTGCCGGAGGAACCCTGCTCACTCCGCAGATGCCTTTCCAGCCATGGTGCCACCCCAGTGCAGCTGGCAGGAGGTTGGCTCCAGGGCATGTCTGGCCTGTCCTGCCCAGTCCCGCCCTGCCGGCCACCTTCTAAATAATTTCCTTTCAATGTGCCCCAATCCGTGCACCAGATCACTAGTTTATTATAAACAGTATTGAATACTTACACGTTTAGAAGATTAAATGTATTCATTATTCACAGCTCTGTCCTTTGCATTAGGATTGATAAGTGTATTTTAAGTAGAAAAACCTTAATAGTCAGTATATAGACAGTCGCATCAGTTCCTCTAGGGACATTCCTATTTGTTTTACACTTGACCTCAGTAGTCAGGGAGTCAGTGTTTGACATAGAATAGGAAACTGCTAGATATAATTTGATTGCATGGTTTATTCTGACTTCCTTCTTATTTTCACATAATTAGTTTTTTAAATGTTGGTTGTTTTTAATCTGACTCTTGTTTGGTTTTTCTTACTGTTGTAGTAGTCAGTGTGATGCATCCAAAAGGCAGTTATGATACCTTTGCTGCTTTTATGGTTTAAAATGTAGTTGCATCATTCAGTTGTAAAATCATATCAGCTCCCTTAGCTATGCTTCCTCACCCTTTTCTATTTTAAAATAAAGGCATCTGCACTTTTCATTTACCTGTTTTCTTTTAATTGTTATACAACTGTATATGGAGGTAGAATTCTACTAATCTAGCAAACCCTGTTTTCTAGTCTCATCTCTCAACATCCAGAATGTTGTGGAAGCTTACTTAAGTTTTGTCACATTTAAATAGCATGAGATGCTCTTTTATGGTACAGTTTTAATACTTGCTTCATTATCTTACAGTTCCTTAAAATATTAATCATTTGCTATACTTTACATCCATCTCCTGCTTGGCACAACAAATTTTAGATATTTGGAGTCATATTTTGTTTAAATTCCAAAGTTAAATAGTGGCAGATGCACAATTCAGCATGAAAAGTGTAATGATCTATGTGGATATTGTGACTAAGTTTTATTTTGCACTGATTTAATGATAATACTTGAATTGTTGTGTGTTTTTGTTTTTACTAGTCTCAGCCAATTAGTTTTTACTTCTATAACATTTAGAAGTTAATTCCAATTTTATACCTAAATTTAAACGCTTAAGTTTATCATGTCTACTTTTAAATGTACTAGATTTAAAAGTAGACATTTAAATGTCTACTTTTAAATCTACCTAAAAGTATAACATTTTTTTTGGAGTAAGCTGGGTTTTAAATCTGCATTCTACTAGGTGTCTTATACATTGGCTAAAAGAAAACAAAAAGAAAAACCCCAACCCACTATTATTTACCTTAAAAAAAGTGTTTGAGAACATAAACATGCTTTGTGGCAAACTGGTATCGAATAAGAAGATTCATTTATTTAACCTTAGGACCTTGATTGTTACTTGAAATTAAAACTTCACTTCAACAACTGATTCACATACTTCTTAAAAAATTCAGTTATTGTAAACTTAATTCATTTCTTTGAGATCTGCCACGAACTACTATTTTTACATGATGTTGGAGTTGAGAAATTAAGAAAGTGACACCCATTTTGAAATGCTATTTAATGTGTAGCATTTCAAAAGGTGGTAGCAGTGGAATTTTAAGCCTTTGTTTTCTTTAGTGCTAATCAAAACAGGCTGATTTGTAAGGTTTTCCCATTTTGGCAAAATCGTAGCAAAAATGTACTAGTATTCTGTAATTTATGATGAAAAAAATGCCAGTTTTCAATAAATAAAATTAAGTTTTTAACTTCTGTTTATAATTACCATTTTCAAATTCTTATCTGGAATTTTAATATGTTAATTTAGGAGTACTTGGTATTTTAATGCATTGGTTATTTTTGAACTTACAATAATTTGGTGAGAAAGGTTAGTTAAAGCACAAAATTATGTCTTGCTGATTTTCTGAGTTGGGTAAGGGTTTTGAAAGATTGGAAATATGTTTTTTTTCTTACACTAAAACAATCACAGCTTGGAAATAATTCTACCATCAATTAAAAATTTATAATGGAAAATCCCAATTGCTAGTAAGTAATAATTACAGAGTATTAGAATAGATAGCAACTATACATCTCATTTTAAAAATTGATATCATTTGTTACAAAATTTAATACCTGGAATCTTGCTAAATTTTATTAGTCAAGGGGTTACACAGAATATTCTTTCCAGACTTGAGAAAATAAAAGAAAGGTCTTTTCACTTTTGAGAATTGTCACTATGATATCTTGGTTATAAATGCTGATATGATAAGGAGAGAGACGTATCTATTTTTACTATTATCTGCACCTTTTTTGGTGGAGAGAAAATTGGAATTTCTGTTCTTTGGGTGGGAAAATCAGAAAATTACAAGCAAAAATAGCAATGTCATCAATAATTTGTGTTATATCTTTTCTATTTTCTTCACTGGTAGATATAGAAATCAAGTCAAGTATTTGCTGAAATTAATAATTGTTCTTAGTTTTTTACTGATCCAAATCTCATGGATCTGTGCAACTGCACAGTCAATTGATTAGGATTTAATTCAGGATTTTAAAATTCTGTTTTCTAAATAAATGTGCAGCTGATTTTTTTCTCTCTTCTTTTTTAAGGAATCTAGGTAAAAACGGCTTATCGAACAGTAGCATTTTATTGGATAAATGCCCGCCTCCAAGACCACCATCTTCACCATACCCGCCCTTGCCAAAGGACAAGCTGAACCCTCCTACACCTAGTATTTATGTGAGTCTGAATTGATGACTAGAAATAAATCAAACTAGTGTTTGCACCTATCTGGTTTTCATAAGATCTGCTTTAAATCAATGTGGATGCCCTCTAGGAAACATTACAATTATTGGCAGCAGCTTGAATGTTTTTTGTTGTTTTTGTTGTTTGTTTTTTGGTGGGAGGTGGGGGGGTGGGACAACAAAGATGTTTTCAAAAGGTTCTGTAATAGCATGTCAAGCACATTCTTGGCTATTAACTGTGATTGCATTAGAGTAGTGCTTTGGACTGCCCCCAGTTTTGAGCAAGTATTAGGCAAAAACTACCTAAAAGTATAACATTTTTTTTGGAGTAAGCTGGGTTTTAAATCTGCATTCTACTAGGTGTCTTATACATTGGCTAAAAGTAAACAAAAAGAAAAACCCCAACCCACTATTATTTACCTTAAAAAAAGTGTTTGAGAACATAAATGTGGTAATTGATAAGTCACTAAAAAGCTGACTAGATTATTTAAAGCTGGATATTCGTTTTACTTTGTGATGAATTAGGAAGTTAGGATTTCAGTCAAAGCAACTCCTTTTTTCATGTTTTTTTTTTTCTTTTTTTTTTTTTCTAAGTAGGGCCTTCTAACCCATTTCCTTTCTTCCATCCTCCCACTTTTACCCCAAATGAAAATACTTTAAACTGTCAAGTTTGTTTTTAGAGATTTGGTTCTGTTTTCGCCCTCTAGAGGCCAAATGTTATATTGACCTTTCCTTAAATCAGTCTCTATTGATCTTTTGGTATGTAAGGGAAGTCCTGGGTTAGAACTGCAACAAAACTTTTAAACTGAGGTCTGAGGAGTGGGGAAATGCAAGATTAAGATTTATCTTTTATGGGTCTTTTTCAGCCTACTTTCATTTTGGTAGTATATTTTTAATTGATTTTTTTTCTTTTTCTGTTTGTGATTAAAAAGCCATATACATAAAGTTTATCATTAGTAGTTTTAAGTGTATTCTTACTGTTGAAAAACAACTCTACATAACTTTTTCATCTTGCCAATCTGAAATTCTATACCTGTTAAAATGCACTCCCTTTTCCACAGTCTCCCCAGCCATTGGTAATAACCACTTTACTTCCTGTTTCTATGAATTACACTACTTTATATAAGGGAAATTGTATACAATTTTTTTTGTGTGTCTGTCTTGTTCAAGTTTCATCCATGTTGCAACATATTATAAGGTTTTCTTCCTTCTTAAAGCTGGATACTATTTAAAACAGTCTGATTTTGGAATTTAAATTTTATTTCTCCCACATATTTTGTTTAGGATATATTGGAAAAGAGAGGTGTATGGTTATATCTAATTACAGTTAAGCTCAAAAGGCATAGTGATAAAATACTGTCAAATATAAAATACAAATAATGACAGATGGGATGCATTATTAAATTGCAATAAATAATAGTTATGAATTTGGCATAGCAATTGAATTAAAGGTCTGTTTTCCGGAGATCTAACTGTATGTTTTAATTTTACAGTTGGAAAATAAACGCGATGCTTTCTTTCCTCCATTACATCAATTTTGTACAAATCCAAACAACCCTGTTACAGTAATACGTGGCCTTGCTGGAGCGCTTAAGTTGGGTAAGCTTTAATAAGAAAAAGGAAAAGTTGGTATATTTTTTTACTATTAACTTTTGAAGCACAGGCAGAAACTTGTTTCTATTTATTTTTTCTCCTCCCCTCTCCCCGCCCCCATTTTTATTTTAACATTTTCCTGACTGTGTGTATCAGTATTATCTCTTTAATCAGTGTGAAGATACTATGATGGTAGTTACTGGCAATTTACTGGTGCTTTTTTAATTCAGCTTTTATTTTGGTGAAAACTATATATAATTATAATTATGATTTAGGTTGGCTAATAAAATAAATTTTTAATAAAAATTTAGGTAAAATTTGAGGCTACTAATAAGTACTATTGCCCCCTAAGTAGTTCCTGGCACCTGCAGAAATTAAATGAGTGAAACTTCAGTCCCCAGTCCCCATTTTGTCCCTGTTGGTGACATGATGGATAGTTCCAGGGCTTCAGTGTATGGTTGTAGAAAAGTAACGGGAAGCTCAGGATGTGCAGAGGCCCCAGTTGGATTGTAGGAGAACTGAATGGAGCACCAGAAAACGTTTTTCCTCCTCTCCCCAACCCTCCCCTTTTTAAAAATCACTTTAAAAATGTTATTTTTAAATATAATTTAAAATATAATTTTTATTTATTAACTACCTTTCTTTATTTATAAAGACCTGGGACTTTTCTCTACCAAAACTTTGGTGGAAGCTAACAATGAGCACATGGTAGAAGTGAGGACACAGTTGTTGCAGCCAGCAGATGAAAACTGGGATCCCACTGGAACGAAGAAAATCTGGCATTGTGAAAGTAATCGATCTCATACTACGATTGCTAAATATGCACAGTACCAGGCCTCCTCCTTCCAGGAATCATTGAGAGTAAGTAATTACTTCCTAAAGATTATTTTTATTTTGGAGATATTGTATATTATTTTAATTTAAAGAGGTACACTACTTCTGTAAGCATCTCATTATCTTATCATTATTTATATTCTATATATATAAAAGTCTAAGTGACTGTCCGACCAGTAGCTATGACGCTCAATGACCACCAGGAGGCAGACGCCCAACACAGGAGCTGCAGAGCTGCCATGACTTGGCAGCTGCAATTCTCGGGTGACACCCGGAACTAGAGAGGAGGGAGCCCAATTCCAGGGTGCATCACCAAGAACCGCCCTCTTGCAATCTAGGACCCATTGGGATATGTCAGAGAGCCAGTTTCGGCCTGATCCCCGCAGGCCAAGCCTGAGGATCCCACCGATGCATGAAATCTGTGCACTGGGCCTCTAGTATAAAATATTTTATGTGCTATCAAGTATGCTCTTAGTAAAGTCTAAGAAACCTGTTGGTTGATAAACTAAATATTATTACTGAAAGATGTTTCCCTTATCTGGGATATTTTTTTTAGAGCAGGGTTTCTTAACCCTGGCATTATTGACATTTTGGGTTCGATAATAGTAAGTTGTGGGTGTTGTCTTTTGTATTGGAGAATGTTTAATAGCATCCCTGGCTTATCCCCATTTGGATAATCTTAGCATACCCCTTAATCCCCAACCCCAGCTCTGACAATCAAAGTCTTATGAAAAGACTCAGGCCTTTCAGCAATGAAACATTACTAAAATCCTTTAGACCTATAGTTTAAAAATTCTCCCACAAAGTAAGCACAAAAGACCTGCAAAATGAGTTTATTAAATGTATTACTGGTATCCTACACCTGAAACTTAGTATGTGCCTTTAAGTCTTTATTTGTAATTCATTAGATTTGCTGATAGCCGTTTTAAATTCTGCCGAGTTTATATTTTCAATCAAGGCAACATTTATACCCGTAAATCATACATTTGTGTTTCTTACTACCACTCCCCATAGATCCTCTGAGGAATTCATCTAACAAAAACAGTCCTGTAACTTTTAGGAGTTATAGTGAATTCATTGTCCATCTAAATCTTTGTAGTTCAAACTTTTGAGATACTTCAACTATGTGATCAGAATAGAATAGATAGCGATAGCAGGATTCAGAGATCATCAAAGGGAAATGTGGAGGAAGAATTGAAAAGCAAAGATAGTAAGAGGCAAGAGAGTATTTAAGTAGGCAGAGAGGGTAGTTTTTTTGTGTGTGCTTTGGAGGCTGGGACCACATTACATGTAAAAAAAATTTGACAGATGTTTAGAAACTGTACATTGAAAGGGAAGGAAGTCAAAAATCTTAGGACGCTAGTGTTAAGAGATAATCATGTCTGTGATTAAAAATTTGTAGATGATAGTAATTTACATTGAAAAGCACCTATATTTATCCAGTACTTAATTTCCCTAGTAATGGTTTAAATGTTCTATCATTCATGTATAATTCATTATGGAGAAAGGATTTGGCCCAGGAGGATCTTTTTATACCTTTGTTCCTAATCAAGAATAGAGAAGTTATTGCCTTCCATCCTTATACATATACTAGAGGCCCGATGCATGAAATTCATGCAAGCTAGGCCTTTGCAGCCCAGCTTTCCAAATGGTCATTCTGCTGTTCGGCCATTCAGGAAATTTGCATATTATGCTTTTATTATTATAGATAGCTACATAAACATGCATGCATGTACCTCTGCTAGTTAAATTTTGTAATCATGATTGATACTTCCTAGGCCTATTAACTTTTCTTAAATTTTCTCTCCTTGAAAAATGGGGCAGGAAATAAGAGTCTATAGTTTGTTCACCTTATAGAAGAATGTTAATAAGGGAGAACTACTAGGATTGCATTGTGGCTGATAAAAGAGTTTGGATACCATTGACTGTCAATCTCGGTGTGAAGTTTTCAGTTGTATGATAGAAAGGATAGCTGGTTATGAACTGGAATGCCTTCTGCTTAATCTGTAGGAAGAAAATGAGAAAAGAAGTCACCATAAAGAACACTCAGATAGTGAATCTACATCTTCAGATAAGTAAGTTACTTTTCATTGTCCACTTAATATTTCTGTTTAAAATGCATGTTTCTAATATTGCCTCTTTTTTTTAAGTTCTGGGAGGAGGAGGAAAGGACCCTTTAAAACCATAAAGTTTGGGACCAACATTGACCTGTCTGATGACAAAAAGTAAGTCTTTGTAGTCTTAGGTAAACTGAGTAAAGAGGTGTCCTTTGCAAGATTGAGAATTGTATATAGTTGTATACACTTTTCTATTTTAGTTCAGATCACTTTTCGAAGTTAATATACAAACTTTAGCTAAATAACTTTTTTAGGTCTTGCAATTAAAGTGTTTTCTTGAATTGAAGCCCTTGTATAAATTTTCATCAAGACCCTGACTATATGCTAGACAATCATAACATAATATTTTGTGATTAACAATATAATTCTATAGAATAAAATTACACAATTATAAAAATTAGAAGTCACATTTTTTTAATTGTTTAATTATTTTTATGCTTTTTGTTAGGAAATCTTTGGGAAAATTTTAGCATTTCACTCTTTCCTATGTGAAAGTAAAGTAATTATACATTTGATTGTTTCTAATTGGAGCACAAGATTTTGAAGAAGTGATTAACTAACACAAATATTTGTCACGGAGTTTCACTCTTAATCTGTTATTTTATTGCAGGTGGAAGTTGCAGCTACATGAGTTGACTAAACTTCCTGCTTTTGTGCGTGTCGTATCAGCAGGAAATCTTCTAAGCCATGTTGGTCACACCATACTGGGCATGAACACAGTTCAGCTATATATGAAAGTTCCAGGAAGCAGAACACCAGGTAACTTTCACGAACTAACATATCTTCTATAATTGAAAAACAATCACTGTGAAATATACAAAAAGAGAACCAGATTCTTTTCCATTTACAGAGAATGAAACTGAAAGGATATTTCCTAATATAAGATTTTACTCTAACTGGGTTCAGATTATGAAGATTTTTCTCCTTCACATTATATGTGAATAGCCCTGAAACAATAGCATTTTAATCTGGAAAAGGGGTCATTGGAGCACTCCTGGGAAAAGAAGTCCCTGTGGCATAAAGGCTGGTGGTGACCCCATCTCCTGCAGGGTAACGGGATCTAGTCGTTCCGACCACCATCACAATAAGCGGTATATTTTATATTATGACCTGGTACACATGTATATATGCAATAGCTTCATAAAACAGCACAGTTTTAAAAAGAAAGTGTAGGTTACAATTGTCCAACTGGATTACAGTGCACAGTTTACAAAGTATGTAATCATGTGGAGGCATTTTCTATTCTGGACTTTACCACTAACTAAGCTTGTCACTTTTGGCAAGTCACATTCCTTCTCTGGGTCTTTTTCTTCATTGGTAAAATGAATGACATTGGCTTAGACTTAAAAGTCTGTACAACACTAATGTATTAACTTCTCTGTGCTGCCTCAGATAATTTGGTCTGGCCCTGCCAAAGCATTATGGGTCAGTTAATTAAATGTTGACCAAATATAGCAGGCTAATTTTAGGTTAATAATTTTGTATGGCCCACGAATGATTTTATAAATACCCAAATGATCTTTGGCAGAAAAACGGTTCCCCCCTCCTGCCTTACTTGGTCATGAAATTTCATAGGGTGATGTTAAAAATATTTAATAATTCAGAAAAAGACTGGTGGTAACAAGTTTACTATACCTATGAGCCTATGAGCTACATATCACCCTCAGCTGTTTCTGTCTGCTACTTGGTTTGAAAACCAGGCTGCTGCTTTGTCACCTGCTTATTTAATAGTAGCTTAAGAATCCTATATACTAGAGGCCCGATGCACGAAGATTCATACAAGAATGGGCCTTGCTTCCCCTGGCAGCTGGCACTGTCTTTGCTCTGGCCTGGAATTACCTTTCCGCCTTCCCAAGCTGCCCAGAGGCCCCAAGCAGCTGGGGCAGTTTGGAACACCTGCATTCTGCCCCCAGTTGCTTGGATGCCTGTGTATGCAAATTAACCCACCATCTTTGTTGGGTTAATTTGCATACTCCTGATTGGCTGGTGGATGTGGTCAATTTGCAATTTTTCTCTTTTATTATTGTAGATTATTGACTATTAGAGGCCTGGTGCACAAAATTCGTTTGGGGGGGTCCCCTCAGCCCGGCCTGCACCCATTCACAGTCCAGGAGCCCTTGGGGGATGTCCAACTGACACTGGAGAGCAGGCTTAAGCCGGCAGTCAGACATCCTTAGCAGTGCTGCAGAGGCGGGAGAGGCTCCCGCCACCGCTGCTGTGCTTGCCGGCGGTAAGCTGGGCTTCTGGCTGAACAGTGCTCCTCCATGGGAGGGCTCTGACCACCAGGAGTAGCTCCTGCATTGAGTGTCTGTCCCCTGGTGGTCAGTGTGCATCATAGCGACCAGTTGTACCGCAGTTTGGTTGATTTGCTTATTAGTCTTTTATTATATAGGATAGATGTTCCCTATGCTGTATTTTACATCCCTGTGGCAATTGGTACTACTTAATCCCTTCACTTTTTTCATCATCCCTAAACAAACACACACACACACACACACGCAGCATATACTTTTGGTGTCATATACAAAAAACCATTGCCAAATCCAGGGTGAAAAAGATTTACCCCAATATTTTCTTCTTAGAATTTTTATAGTTCTAGCTCCTATATTTAGATCTTTGATCCATTTTAAGTTAATTTTTGTACATGGTATCAGCTAAGGGTCTAACCTCATTCTGTCATATGTGTCATCCAGTTGTCCCCGTACCATTTGTCAGAAAGACTATAATCCTTTCTCTACTGAATGGTCTTGGCACCCTTGTTGAAAATTAATTGATCATAGATATAATGTATGTATGTATGTATGTATGGATTTATTTTTGGAATCTTGATTCTGTTCCATTGATTTATATCTGTCTTTATGTCAGTACCACCCTGATTTGATTACTATAGCCTTTTGAGATTAAGTTTCAAAATTGGGAAGTGTGAGTCTTCCCTCTTGTGTACTTACCTTTACTTTAGTTGTTTATATCTCATAGGACTTTGAATTACTATCTAGTGTTTTTTCATTTCAGCCTAAAAAACTATACCATTCTTTCTTATAGGTCAGATTGACGAGTGACAAACTTCTTCAGCTTTCATTTTTTGGGGAATGTCTTAGTTTCTTTCAGTCAGGGGAGAAAAACAAAACTGCAGAAAAGCAAGCAACAAAGAGAAAGACACTAAGAAAGAAATAAGTTGACAAAAACTAGTTCTAAAGAAGTACAGATATTATACTTTATATGCTTTAAATCAACTGTCTTAAAGCTGATTAAGAGCTAAACGAAACCATGGACAAGAACAAGGGAAACCAGAGATTATCAATAAAGAGACATTATAGTAATAAAGGAAAACATTTTGAAGCTGAACGTACAATAACTGGAAAAAAATTCACTAGTGGGTCTCAATAGTAGACTTAAGCAGGCTAAAAAAAAAAAAAAATCAGTAAACATACATAGTTCAAAAGGAACTATTCTAAGGAGAAAACAAGATGAAGAACAATTAACAGAGCTTAAGAATCCTTTGGGACAATATCAAAAATACTAATAGGCCCTGGCCAGGTAGGTCAGTTGGTTAGTGTTGTCCCAATACACCAAGATTATGGGTTCAGTCCCTGATCAGGGCACATATAGGAATTAATCAATGAGCCCTAGTTGATTTGGCTCAGTGGATAGAGCATCAACCTGTGGACTTCAGGGATCCCAGATTTGATTCTGGTCAAGGGCACATGCCTGCGTTTCGGGCTCAGTCCCCAGTGGGGCATGGACCAATCGATGATTCTCTCTCATCATTAATGTTTCTGTCTATCTCCCTCCCTCTCCCTTCCTCTCTGAAATCAATAAAAATATGTATTAAAAGAAAAAACAATGAATGCATAAATAAGTGGAACAACAAATCTGCTTCTCTCTCTCAAATCAATTAAAAAAACAAAAACAATACCTTTAGAGCATTCTCTGTTGAACATTTCTAAGGTTATACTTCTAAAGATACATTTTCTATAGAATTTATAGTATGCTTATCTTTTTTTTTTTCTTTTCACATTTTAGGTCATCAAGAAAATAACAACTTCTGTTCAGTAAATATCAATATTGGTCCAGGTGATTGTGAATGGTTCGTTGTTCCTGAAGGTTACTGGGGTGTTCTAAATGATTTCTGTGAAAAGTAGGTTTCCAATCTAAATATTCTCTAAACATAATTATTCAAAAACAGTAATTGTGAAGGACATCTTACTAAAGCGGGTGTCCTGGCCAGTTTTCACTTAGCATTCAGCAGAAACTTCATTTAACACAATTTGATTCCAATCCCATTATTTTGTGTAACCGAGGATACTTTAAGAAAATGCCTTGAAACTTCTTCACGCAATGGTAATAGCCTTGAATTTAAAGGAAAGAAAAATTGAATTATTAGGCTAATTAAACAGTTAGTACATAAGTATTTGTTCATGTGAAAGGTCTGTATTCCAAGGAAAGTTGTTTTACTGTAAAGTGTTTTAGAAGTGGAAGAAATTTTATAATTGAGCACCTTTATAGATTATTAATAACTCAAACTTCAACACAGTACTCTTTGCTATATCATTATAATATAAATTCTTTTAAAAACTATTCTGGCAACTTTTCCGATGAAGGAACTTAAATTATAAAATTTAAGTCAGCTGTTTCAGATTTTGTTTGTGTTATTGAAAGAACTCATCTGATGGAAGTGTTACTTTCCAAGAATCCTAGAAATAGCCTTCATTTATTTATTTTGTCTTAAAGGGTACCTTGAAAGTGTTTTCATTGATTTAAATCGAAATGTTTGTTTAAATGGAATCTTTCTTTTTCCCCGAAAAGTACTTCATTGTGCAAGCACCTAATATTTATAGTTACTAATAACATTAGAAAATTATTTTGGTTAACATAAATTATACAATAAAATAAAGGGGGACACTAAAAACATTTACATATGAGAAATTTTGGAAACTATATATATATATTCCACATACTGTAATTTCTTAATTTGGCATAAAAGAATCTTTTCTATAAATACCCAAATTTAGTAAGAAATGTAAATACAGTTGCAACAAGACATATTAATCCAAAATTCCATATATACATGTATATCCATATACATGTATATATTTATACATATTGTCTTTGCTGTTTAACTACATAGATTTCTTTCAATGTAATAAGAAAGTCAAAGATGTGGAATTTTAAAGTTCCAAATCCTTTGCTGAAATAACCTGGTTTAATCTGATTTACTTTTATGGGCCAGCATCCTGGCAGTAGAGAGAGAGAACAGTGTCGTGAAGGAAATGGCCATAGTGCTACAGAAAGGTTTTTATTTCTCTCACTTTGAGATAGTAGTATATTATTGCGGCTACAGTACAGTCATTCATGTTCATTATTTTTGAGTAGGGATTGGCTATTTTTAGGATTTTGTTTCCTGTCTAAATGGAGAGGTAACCTGGGAGCTAAGATAATTAGAATAACCAGAAGATGTCTAAAAAACTTGAACTTGGGATAATAAAAATATTGAGTTAGTATAAATAGTTAGATAAATTTAAGTGGTAGAAACAGCACTTGCCACCTTAGCATTTCAATATAATTTTGTTTTACGTAGCGATTATTTGAAACTGACTGGTATTTAACCTTGTCTGTATTTTTGTTTTATGACTTTAAATAATATATATCCTGAAATAGCCATTCATTTGAATAAATGATGAAAAGGATGGTTGCTGTTTTGTAAGTTCGAGGGTGTCTTTTTTTTTTTTTTTTTTTTTTTTTTTACTTAGTTGTTGATAATTTGATGGTCTTGATTGCTTGCTTTTGGATGGCAATATGTGGGTAAAGTAGAGCTAGGATTTGTGTTGGTAGCAATATTTTGCTTTACAGGCAAATCTTTCTGGATTGTATCTGCACAGCCTTTTCACAAACAGGAAGCCAGTTCTTATCCCTTGCAATTAGGCCATGACCATTGGCAGTCTGTTCTAGACTTTGAGGAACAGCCTTGCTTTTGGGTTTTTTGTTTGTTTGCTTGCTTGCTTGCTTGTTTTTAGGGAAAACGTAAGATTGAGATTCCATCTAGATGATAAGCTTTTCATAAAGGTCCAAATAATAAATATTTTAGGCTTTGCAGGTCATGCAGTCTCTGTCACAACCATGTCATTACAGCACATAAACAGTCACACAATACGTAAATAGAGGGTCATGGCTCTGTTTTAATAAAACAATTTACATATGAAAACGCAATGGGCTGGATTTGCCAATCCTTGGGAAAAAAAAATGAAATTTAAACCAATGACAATAATTTAAAGGTACACTTTATCATAACTTTTAGCACAAGGCACAGAAATAAAGACAAGGCTATTAGATACTAAGGAAAGGAAGATTTTTCACCCTGGGAGTTTTTCATTCCCAAAAATGAAATGTAAAGTAATAAATTGAATTTTTAAGAATTCTTTGGTAGGAAAAGTTGTTTATGTAGTTTATAAAGTACTTTCTATTATATCATGATGTATTAGAATAAGAAGCTGGATTTTAACATAAGCATAGCAATATGATCTGTAGAAATATTTCCTAAATATACTGGTTGTGGTAGCAGTGATGGTTATTTGTGCACACATGTGATTGTAGTATATGGGTGAGATTGTTCATTCTGCAGAGTCACCCAGTCATGAAAACTAAAGACCATCTCTGTTTTTTACTTTCCTCCGAAATAGAAGTTCCCAGTACTTCATTTGTCATAGTGTTTCTCTTTATGGATTTAAATGACTTGATGTCAGCTCCACCTTCTATTTATTTTATTTTTTTAATATATTTTATTGATTTTTTTTTTTACAGAGAGGAAGGGAGAGGGATAGAGAGTTAGATACATCGATGAGAGAGAAACATCGACCAGCTGCCTCCTGCACAACCCCCACCAGGGATGTGCCTGCAACCAAGGTACATGCCCTTGACCAGAATCGAACCTGGGACCTTTCAGTCCGCTGGCTGACGCTCTGTCCACTGAGCCAAACTGGTTTCGGCTCCACCTTCTATTTACCTTTTAGATATTTCTCAGTACTCCAGGGAGAAGGTTCAATCAAAATAGCCTTTAGAGAAGTGAAATTTAAAACTATGTGTATAAGTGTTGCTTAAAGATAGCTTTGGATTTCATTTGGATCTTTAGAAAATCATCTTAAGATAGTAATACTGATCTTTGGGGAAGTCCTCCAAAAATTAAGTGTAATTTATCTTACCCCCCTGTACATATAGCAGTTCTTACTGCATAAGCCATTACTTTTCAATGCAACGAATGAACATATTTTTAAAACTTCTGACATTTGTCTTCTAGTTTTATAAGGAGCTTATTAAAGTACTTGATACACTCGCATTATTTTTTCTTATTTCAGAAATAATTTGAATTTCCTAATGGGTTCCTGGTGGCCCAACCTGGAAGACCTTTATGAAGCCAATGTCCCGGTGTATAGGTTCATTCAGCGGCCTGGAGATCTGGTCTGGATAAACGCGGGCACTGTGCACTGGGTGCAGGCTATTGGCTGGTGCAACAATATTGCTTGGAATGTTGGTCCACTTACAGGTATTTTACAGATTATGCTAAAAACAAAAACAAAAAAAACACCATTTAATTTCTAAGGGATTGTATTTGACCTTTTTTTTCTTGGAATATACCCCACTAAAAATTGGAAGAGTGTTTCCTTGAATAAAAATTTAACTTGTAGTACAAGATATTAAATTCAAGTTAACAAATAGAAATCCAAGACTATAGATCTCAGCAAAAACAAATATGTCTTTATATACAAGGAAATATATATTTAAAAAACAATAGACATTTCTTATTCCTCATTATAATAGTTTAAAATGGGTATTTGTGACCAGTGGGTGGCTCTCCTTCCTGTAACAGAGCGCTTGGTTTTGTTTCTTAAAGGAAACCCCTATGGGAGAAAGCAAAGAGAGTGCTCAATCTTTCAAACTTTTCTTCTCTCTGGTGTTATGAATAGCCCTATTGTATCACAATCCGTTTGGATTCTGCCTGCCTTCAGGCAGTAGATAGTTAAGATGAATAATATGGCCTTTGGAGCCAGATAGACCTGGATTAGGACCAGGGCTTGGCTCTTGCAAATTTGGGCAAGTTGTATAACCTCTCAGGGCTTCAATTTCTTCATTTGTATAATGGGAATAATAAAATTAAAAAGGTGATACTGTAGATTAAATGAAATAAGGTATTAAAATAGCTCAGCACAATGTCCGGCACATAGTTAAAATAAGCACTGTTTACATGATATTATCATTTATCAAAAAACATAAAAATTATTTTTGTAATATTTTGAGGTTTTCAGAATTGGTTTAGATGATAATCACCTGAGAAGGTGATAATGGTTATCTTCATAAATTTTGGTACTTTGGGTTGCTTTATAACTGTTTTTTTCCCCCTAGCCTGCCAGTATAAGTTGGCAGTGGAACGGTACGAATGGAACAAATTGCAAAGTGTGAAGTCAATAGTACCCATGGTTCATCTTTCCTGGAATATGGCACGAAATATCAAGGTCTCAGATCCAAAGCTTTTTGAAATGATTAAGTAAGTGCTTTCTAAACTGCTGTAGTCCCTTTCTTTTTGGGGAGTGTTAATTATTCAACACCCCCCCCACCCCCACCCTGAATTATGTTGACATCAAAACAAAATGGTCCAGAAGTCGAGCAAATTATAATACAATAATCCACATGCTAAAAGCATTTTTCCCTCCAAATAGTAAGTGCACTGTTGTATAAAGGGGATCAAAGGCACAAATGACTTTTAAACAATTAGATTTACAAACCTTGCTTCCCCACTATCTTCTCACCTACCCGATTCCTAGAACTTTAGTTTTAATATTGAAAGACTGCCCTTAGTACTGGGAGAGGAAATGACATCACAAAATAATTGCTGGTACAGAGAAATTAGCATTTAATATAGGGATTTTACTAATGTTAATTTTTAATTTTTTTAATGTTTTTATTGTTTAAAGTATTACATATATTAGTACATATATCTTAATTTTATTTTCATTAAATCATCTATCTTATAATTGCCCCTTTGTTTAGCTGCTTTAAACATGTAATGCAAGTTATTTGAATGCATATGTTTTAGTAAGCATCTCATTTATTATCATAGTTTCTGACCTAACTATATTATAAGTCTGTTTAGAAGTAACATGTTCAATTAGTGCTATATAGCAGTGTTTCCCTAAACTGTGTTTTCTACCATTACTACGCCTGTTCCCAAAAGGTAGGGAATTTTGGTCAAAGAAATATGGGAAATGGTGGAGTAGGTAAAGTTCTTTTTTCCTTAAGTGTTGGTGTGTTTTGTGAATGGGGAGAAGGGTCATAATGTATTGTATTTCCCCAACCCATTTGTTTGGCTAGTATCTTTTGAAGAATTGCTCTCCTCATAAACTTATTTTTGGAATACACTGCTTTAGCAAGTGTGTTGCCTCTGATGAAATAAATTTGTTTTTGTTAAAATAATACTGAAGTATTTTCTCTGCAGCTATAATCATTTGGTCAGCTTGTATTGTTTTTAAAATACTACCTTTTAAAAGTAATCACGACTTACTAAAATGATTTCAAATCTAAGTCCCAAATTTTATTCAAGCAAAAATTGTGTGGCCAAGGTAATATGTGTGTGGATGTTCTTATGATACAGTCCTTTATCCGTTGTATCATTTTTATCTAGTCTTGGGAAGAAGTGGTAGGAGGAGGCAAAGGTAACAAAAACTAAATCACATCAAGTAATGTACAAATACTTGAAAAAGTTGGATCTTAGGTATCATACTCTATACATGTAATTGGTAGTGGAGTGTGGGGGTTGTCTGTCCATTTATTCTATTACTAGGGGCCCAGTGCACTAATTTGTGAACTTTGAAAGGAACTGTGAGCCACGAGGCTGCAGTGGCACAGGGGCGGGTTTCGGTCCATCCTCTGTGCCTCACCTCCCCTTCCACAGCAGCCCCTTGTCCCTTGTCTGCTGGCAGGCCGGTTCCTGCTGCTGCCACTTTCATGTGCTAATAGCAAGGAGCGATTGGGGCCAGTGCCAGCAGCAGGTATGAGCAGCAGCTGCTGCCCTGTTCACCCCTCAGGAGCAGTGACATGTGCCCCGCCCTGGTCTGGTGCCCCTGCTTACCTGCTCCACCATCCCACTGTGGCTGACGTCAACCATGTTCCATGCTCTGCCGCCTGCTGCCTATGCCCTCCATGTTCCATGCACACCCCCTGGTGGTGAGCACACATCATAGCAACTCATGCTTAACATACATTTGCTTTCACACATGTTTTTTCCTCCTGTTAACGTTCTTAACACATTACGGACGGATCACGAGAATTCTTTAAAAAGATATTAGCTTGTGAGAACATGTAATAAATAACTTCAAAATGCAATGGATATTTAATTTTAAAGCGTGCCTTTAACATTAATGTAAAACATTCATTAACATTAATGTAATGTTTTCTGTACTCGCTCAATAGAAACTTATCTGGCCACTGGGTAAAGCTAGCAATAAAACTACTGGTCCGCAATGCGTTAAGATCCCCTTTTTATTATTGACTGAGACCTTGATTTTCAGCCATGTGGTTGGTTCAAATGAAACTATTATGTCTTGCTGACCTTTAGACCCTCACTGTTGTCCTAGGAGCAATACAACTCTGGAGTGGCAGGGGCAAGTGTGTTAGCTGACTTTGCCTGCATGGCTTTCAGTACGAGGGATTGTGCAAGGAACTGTGCCTCTTGAACACTTGAGTTTGTACACCATCTACTCTCAGTGGTGAGATTGTTAGCATGGCATCTTTAAAGGTGCCATATCAAGTTAACCCCTGCCTTTTCTCTCTCCACACTGACTTTGGACACTTAGCCAAGTTGCCCCCAGAATGTCAGAGTCATTCCATTTTGCCTTAACTTCAACATAATATCCTGTCATCATGGCTTCATTCCTTTACTTTCCTGCCTCAGAAACCTCATCCCCAGATTAAAATCTTATAAGAACAGTTGTGTTTGCTCCCTAAGTAATCCCATATTACCTTTGCTCGAGGCATTTCTTCTGCCTGGAAAGTACCTTCCCTGCCACCTTTCCTTCCTGCCCACATCTAAATGGAGAACTTCTTTACCCAGACTTCTGAGATTCCTACCCCCTCTCGCCTGAAGTGAAGCTGAGCATTCCCTCCTTTTAGCACCCATGGTATACTATGTCTATTTCTCTTTTGCCTAACTTATGAATATATTGTACATGAGCTGTCTTTAGTATTTCAAGTATATTTTTATTTCTATCCCCTACATGAAGTCATTTTCTAAAACACCATCCTTCTGGAGGTTTCCTCTTTGCAGACTGGTGTTTGGGCAGATTAGATTCTACTGTGTAACCTCAAATACACCACGCCCTCAATCAGCCTTTTCCTGGCTTTCTTCTGTGCCAGAGCTGTCTTTAATACTCACCGCCGTCTTGTGGTAGTCTTCCATCCAAGCAGCTCCAAGTAGGGGTTGGATCCTGAAACCACATCGATCCTTAAATGTCAAAAAACTGCCTGCCTCTCTATCTCCTGAAATTACCACATCGATCCTTAAATGTCAAAAAACTGCCTACCTCTCTATCTCCTGAAATTATTTCTGACCCTATTCCTAAATGTGTTTATTTAAAAAACGGCATATCTTCTACAATGTTATACTTTTTGCTAGTGATTTATGTTGTTTTAACAAGTGAATTATTAATTGCTATAAGATATATTTACTAAAATTCAGCAAAACTAAAATGAAGAGGAAATAACAACCCTGATCTGGTTTGATTTTGATTTTTTCAGCTCTTCAATACACTCAAACATGGTCTAGGATTAATCAAAGCAGAACAGATTACTGTTAAGTCTTAAATATTATTATACCTGTATCTTCTCTAGGATCCTTTCCCTAAATCTCTGTATTTCTGATTCTTCCCTGCCCTTTGACTGAATCGGATTCTTTCTTTAGGACTTGTTCCTTGGAGGACTTCAGAAGATCCTCTGTCTCTCTCATTTTCCTTGAACTCCAGTGGCTACCTTTTGAAAAATGGAGTTGAACAAACAATTTAACGTTGAGAGCAAAGAGGAAAGTGCAATGCGGCCCCTCATTGTCAGATCAGATTAACAGAGCTGTGTGTTTTCTAAGGTTCCAATAGCTCACAGAATAAACATTCTGGAGCTGTGATTTCATACACAGAATACTCATGGCTTAATATTACTAGCAACCCTAGCTCTAATCCTTTATTGTTTGCGGGAAAGTGGTATAATGCATTTTTCTAGATGAAACTACCAAACTAACCAGAAATTAGAAACTACCATCTGATTGTCATTGTAGTCAGGAGCATTGGAGTGGAAAACGTATTCACTGAGTAAAGAGTGGGATGATAATACTCCCCAGAACCATGGCTCTGTGTTTTTGGGGTGGGTGAGGATCGCACTGACTGAATCTTATCTTTCAAAGAGAAAGGGGGAGCGGGTAAGAATACGTGGAAGAGAGTACGGCATGGACATCAGACAAATTTAGCTTCTGAGCACAAGTCTCAACTGTCCAGGATTGTTGGATGCCTAAGTGTCATAATAGCGTGAAGTACCTAATACCATGCCTTCTGTCTGGTCCTTATTTCTTATGTATTTGACGGGAGCATAGTAGCATCTGCCCATCTTCTAGAGGGGTCTGCAGAGTTTTCGGCATTATTTCCCTTTGAAAGAGACCTTCTATTGAAGCCCTGGTTGGAAAACTTTTTCAGGAAGGTCAGGGCCTTCAGAGGCGAATTGTATGGGACATGGGGAGGGAAAGGGGAAGAGCAGGTACTGTTTAAGAGCTGGTGGCATTGTCTGGATTATATTCTGTCTCTTTTTACCATGATCTACATTTTTGCTTGCTCCCTTCCCTGGCATACTTTCATGAACACATATGATACACACATACACACACACACACGCACACACACATGCACACACACATGCACACACACATACAGAGAGAGGAAAAAGGAGAGAGCTGTCCTAGCTTTGATTTACAACCATAGTCTAAAGCTGGTGGTCCGTGAGGTCCGAAAGGTTAGTGACCGCTGGTCTAAATCATTATTTTGTTTCTAAGTAAGTTAAGTGTGCAAGAATTGCTGAACAAACTGAGACATTTATTTTAATATGATGCCTAATTGGTTTGCCTTGCAGCTAGCTGTGAAGTTGATATTGCGATGTCTTTGTTAAATAAGTTAACAAGTTTTACATAGATTTTTAGTCATCTTTTATCCTGGTTTAATGCACAGGGATTCTCATAAGTGACAATGCTTTAACGTAGTCACTTATGAGATAACAAGGAAATATAAATTAAGAGAACTTAAATTGCTATTACCATACATTAAATTTTAGTCATTCAGTAATCAAATGTTTATTGAGTACTTACTATATGCCAGGCACTGTCATAGACAGAGAGTAGACAGCATGGATAAAACAGATAAGACCTTTTGCTTTCAAACAATACTGTTGCTAAACCCATTTCCTTTTCTTTAGGGTATTTTCATTATCTCTGAATTTTAGAGGGAAAGTGTCTTAGAGATCATCTAGTCCAACCTCTGTTCAAATGAAGTGTCTGAGCAGAATTAAGTATCAGAGAAGAATTAAGAGAATTTAGCAATTTCAAGTAATGACAGCAAACTATAGGAAAACCAGCACAAACTGAGAATTCACTATATTGTTAGCATCATAAGTATGAGTTTAGAGAAGCCACAAATTATAAACTCAATTGTGTTTATAAATGCAATATTCTTTATTATCTCCAAGTTAAAATAGACGATTTAAATGTCTTTTTTCTTCTCTAGTGCTATAATGAAACCAATTTGGTATTGTGTGGTGACTAAACACATAAATGGCTTTCTGCTTATAGACTCACAAGTTTGAAAAGCATCTATATAGATGATGCTGTTTGCCTTTGTCTGGGTAGTACTTCTAGAAATAACACACCTTCCTGCCTTCTGGAATCATAGTTCAGACCTGGAATTCAGACCCCTCATTTCAAGGATGAGAATATTGACTCCCAAAGAGGTCAATTCACTTGCCCAAATAAGAGCCAAAAATAACAGCTTATATTTAAGCAAGGGATCAGGTTTTACATATTAAGATCATTATATTTTTATAATCAGATAAAAATTATTCTCACTTTAACTGATACAATATTAATATCAGACCTGCTGAACAGTAACCCCATTTTTTAAAAACCTCAGATTATCTGAGACATTGACAAAAGAAAAAACGAAGTCACAGATATTAGAACTGAGTCTCTTGGCATTGTTTCTAATGATATATCTTTTATGCTAAAGACATTCAGTATTCAATTGCTGGTCACAAATAATTTTTTCCCTACGACAGGTATTGTCTTCTAAGAACCCTGAAGCAATGTCAGACATTGCGGGAAGCTCTCATTGCTGCGGGCAAAGAGATCGTGTGGCATGGGCGGACAAAGGAGGAGCCTGCACACTACTGCAGCATCTGTGAGGCAAGTGCCTGCTCTTGCCCCTGATTTACAAAGCCTCTTCCCTCCGGTTATTTTTAAAAATATATTGAGACTTTCATGTAATATGTTTTATTGAACTTGTATTTAAAATCTTACTTTCTCGTTACTTAGCTACTAAAATTTAATCTGATGGTATACCATTTTACTAACTATGGATTAACTCAACTACAGAGTCTTTGTATAATAAGATATTTAACAGAAGATAATCATCAAGAAGTTTAGGCTTAGAATTTTAAACTATGAACAATGCAGAAGCAGACAGGTGCCGATAGACTGTATGTAGTTCAGGATAGCTACAGGCAAACCGATGCTGTTCTTTCTGGTGCAGTTCACAACACACTGGTCAGTCTTCTGAAGCCAAGGTTTGTAAGAGAAGCAGAAACGAAGAGAGGGTACCTGGAGGAGCTTCCATAGTCTGCTCAGAGAAGACAGATTATGAACAACAAATTGTAATGTACATGAGACTGGTGAATGCACAGTCGGTCTCACTGCCATGACAACACTGAGGGGGGAGATTTTCCTTTCTATGTTGGCATAAGAGTTCACCAGAGTATTAACATTTGAGTCCATCGTTAAGGATGAGTATGAGACCTCAGTGGACTGAAAAAAAATGAGAATTGGAGGTAGAATGAATGTTGTTATGAGCTGTAATAACAATATGGGAAATGAAATGGCTTATCCATAAAAGGGTAAGTTAGTCCCATGTGGCTGGAACTTATAAGTCTTGGTAGTAAGAAGCTTACAGAGCATCTTGAATGACTAAGGAATTTGATATTCTGAGGTCATTGAAGCCATAAAAGATTTTGAGCAGGCAACCAACTTGGATGTGTGTTTTGAGGTTTGAGTTTGGCTTCGCACCCAGCACTCTGCTATGCCTTGGAGGTGCAGAGATGAGGAAACATAGTCTTTATCTTTGGAGCAGCTCCGTCTAGAGGGGAAGACAAATGCAGTTATAGTGCCCAGTCTGAATACCGCCAGAGAAGGAAAAAGAACGTTGTGATCACTTTTACCGGACTGTGTAGTAATATTTCCGATTTAGAGCAAAGCAGACTGACCTTTATTAAACTTTTGAATTACTTTTGCCAGTGATTGTAACGAGTAGCCATTCCCTTAGGCCATTCCCTGGGATATACATTGCCACCCGTGTGTCTGGGTTTAGTGCAGAGTGAATCTTGTCCATTAAAGAATTTTAAACATGGCCATGTTTGTCTTGGTACCTACTTTCAATTAGAGATAACTGTCCACGACTCCATGCAAAGTAAGATTCTATGATTTTATTAAAGTATCGCAATAAGTAAACGCCACTGTCGCAATTGAATGCTTTTTCTCTTGTATGAAATAGGTGGAGGTTTTTGATCTGCTTTTTGTCACTAATGAGAGCATTTCTCGGAAGACCTACGTAGTGCATTGTCAAGATTGTGCACGAAAAACAAGCAGAAACCTGGACAACTTTGTGGTGCTAGAACAGTACAAGATGGAGGACCTGATGCAAGTCTATGACCAATTTACATTAGTAAGTGAAATCCACATGTGAGTACGTGGGTAGGGGGAAGGGAAGCCGCGTTGTTTGTTCTGCCACTTGATGAGCAGGAGGTAGGAAATACTTACATTTTCTGTGGCTCCTTAGGTAGTGCTGATGATCCCCTCAGCAAGAGGAGGGAAATGGTCTCAGACTCTTAGGAAGATTGTCCAGTGGGAGTCCGTAAGGAGGTTATACTTTGTGTACCAAAGTAACATCCCTCACTTTCATTTCTAGGCTCCTCCATTGCCATCTTCCTCATCTTGATATTGTTCCATGGACATTAAGTGAGACCTTTTCTGCTATTCAGGAAGTAGCTCAGTTCTGCACCACTGGCTTTAGAGCTGTCTCATAAGGCTGCTGGCTGAAACTGTGTCTATGCAACCTTCCACGTGAGAGCCCACCAACCGGACTGAGGAGGGCACTGCTCCTGCTCCAGGCCTCTCTGCTGATGAGCTGTGCTTCAGAAAGAAGAATAATTCCCACGTTTTGTATATATCTGACAAAACTGGCAACACCATGCAGACTACTGACTTGAAGACACCCTTTTATATTTCTCTATTCCTGGGCTGATGAACCTGTTTTCATCCTTTCCCTTTCAGAGTTTTCCTTGGGGAAAAATACTAGCCTAGCTGGTAATTTCTTTGTAAGGTAGTTAGCAATTTTAAGGCTTTCTTTGGTCAACTTTTTTTTAATGTGAAAAGTTAGGTAAGGAACTTTTTTACTGCTTTTATGTTTTTTCTGTCTTGTTTTGAAACCATGGCGGTTATTACACTTTTGGTTCCTAAATGAAATGTTTAAAACTTAACAGCCAAGTCACAAAGATAATGGATTGCACATAGACTAAGGAATAAACTTCGGATTTGTGATTTTTGTTTCTAATCTTGATGTAAATTTACACTATTTATAAATACATATTTATTGCTTGAAAATATTTGTGAATGGAATGCTGTTATTTTTTCCAGATTTACCTGCCATTGAAATTTTAAGGAGTTCTGTAATTTCAAACACTACTCCTATTACATTTTCTATGTGTAAATAAAGCTGCTTAGCATTGTACAGAAACTTTTATTAAAATTGTTTAATGTTTAAAGAGTTTTCTATTGTTTGAGTTTTAAAAAGATTTTATGTACAGTGCCCAGTTTTTGTTCATTTTTCAAATCTGATTATATATATTTTATATATACTTATGTATGTATATATAATATATATAGAAATCTGGATATCTATGTATAAAGATTTAGAACTTAAAATTTTCTCATTTTAAGTTTCACATCTATGGTAGATTTTTGAGGTGTCTACTGTAAAGTATTGCTTACAAAAGTATGATTATTTTTAAAGAAATATATATGGTATGTATCTTCAAGACCTAACATGTCAGACTGGTTTATTGTTAAGTTGCAATTACTGCAGTCACAGACCAATAAACAGTTGCTGCCAAAATGTAGTATAATAGTAGAAAACAAACAGTGATTGAACTTAAGGTTTTAAAGGTAATGTTTTATGGGCTTGACAAATCCTGTACATCATTTAGTAGCTTTTTCTATGGAACAAATATTCAGATAAAGGATTCTATTTTAGAATGCAAATAAATTCAGAGACTTATTTTTTTAATGTTAGGCAGTTCTGAAATTTCATGCTTTTCTGCTTGCATGACGTGATGGGGGCGGGGAGGGGGCGCTAGTCTGCAAATTCCATGCCACTAGTAACATAGCAAGCTATATTAGCATTAACAGGTCACTTCTGATTAATAATAGTATTTTATTTTAAAGTAATGGTACCTTGCCTTTGGCACATAGTCTCACTTTATTACTGTTTCTAACTTCCTAAGATTTTCCCAGGAAGCTATAGTGAAGAAGCATAGAGAATGCTTATAAATGAAGCTATGTGTATGACTAAAAATCTATAATCCTCTCTAATGAAATGCTGTGCTGATTGCATTAACCAAGTACTTTTTCCCTGTCCTTAAGGAGCAAGAGTGCTTGTGTTAAGTGCTGCTCAGGATGCTTAACCAGTAATATTTCTCAATGAACTCAAGACAAACAAAATAAAAATTGCAAGCCAGCTACCCAGAAACAAAGGTTAAAGAAAGGCAGAAGCTATACCTAAATGTTTCTTAGCCATTCTTGTTTATCTTACTGACACAGTGTCTTATTTTCTGTGTTTTTAATGTATATTTTTATTGGTTTAGAGAGGAAGGGAGAGGGTGAGAGAGAGAGAAACATCAATGATGAGAGAGAATCATGGATCAGCTGCCTCCTGCACACCCCCTACTAGGGATCAAGCCCACAATCCAGGCATGTACCCTTGACTGGAATAGAACCTGGGACCCTTCAGTCTGCAGGCCAACATGCACTGAGTCAAACCAGCTAGGACTCTGGCTTTATTCAGATAGTTTATTACCAAGATTACTCTAAGTTGTGTGACAGTTAGGAGTAATTTAGTGGTGCTTCACCAATAACTTTGGAAGTTGTATGTCAAGAATACTTGTTCAGCTTAGTCTGGGGGAGAGAGAATAGGAGGTAGAAATCAGATGCCTGAACATTACTTAAAAGTGTAACTTGGATGAACAAAGTCATGCAAAACTGTTTTTCATCAAGTTAATATCTTTTATTTACATTTTCCAGGTTTCAGAAGAAATAGAAATTTTTTAAAATTTATTTTACTTATCATATAGGGAAATTCCATTAAATAAAGCAAACTTCATCCTGGTCCCTTAATAATAAAACGGGTTTCATCATAACACGCATTGTTTAGGCAAAGGAGCTAATTACACACTATGACAAAGGGAGAAGTGTTGATCCAGAAAGTGGGAACTAAATCATATTTTCCTCATTGTCACCAGTTAAATAGGGAATCTTACACCATCAGTATAGCAGTTCAAGTTGCTTAACCTATTTAAATTAATAAAAAAAAAAAATGTGGCTTCTGCATTTTTGAAATAAAAGCTAAGCCACTTTTTCAAAGTAGTAAATTGAGAGGACTTTTTCCTAGTAATTAGCTGAAATTTAACAACGTAATATGAATTTAACCTAAATGAAGTACCTGTTTCTCAGAACGTAGTTATTAAATCTTTAAATCATTATGTATATTCTCAGTCAATATATTTATTTAGCATTTTCTAAACAAATCTGAATAAGATGTCATTCTGCCCTCGATATCCTTCACATGGGAGGTGTAGGTATTGTGTTGGGCAAAACCTAGGTAATAAGGGCTGCTAGTATTGGAGCTTTCATTTCAGTGGGGTTTCCTTTAACATCAGTGATCACATCTTCCAGAGCAAGAGGATTTGGGAGAGTTGGGAAAGCCCACATACTGGGAAAGCCTGCCTTGAGAGGTTTACACCTCACCCTGTGGTTGTGGAATCACGGGATTTATGCAAAATAACAAGGTTGAGTTTGTAATAGTCCTGCCTGCTTTGACACACTGTATGATTTCTCCTGGCCATGGCTGCCAGAGGGATATTTCTTTTTTTTTAATTATCTATAAAAATGTATTTGAACCAAAGAGGATACACCTGGAAGCAAGCTCTCTCCAGACATAGGTGCTTCTTGGGGGATGCTTCTAAAGTACAGAAATGCAAGGGAGAGGAGACTCGGGCTTGAACTTGGCATGTTGGGAGGATGGAACTAACAGGTTTGGAGGACAAAAAGGAAAGTCCCCAGAACCCACTAGATGCCTTCAGATGAGTGGAGGTGCTTCTAACTAGAAGAGGAGATGCAGAAGGATAGTTCCAGAAGATGATGAATTGCTTGCAGGGCAGCTAGTGGTTGACATTAGGAGAGGCCTGGGTGGGACCCACCTACCTAGCTCTCCACTGAGGCAGCGCTCAGAGCCACGGGAGATGAGCTCATACAGGAGCTGGTGAGGCAAGGTGAGGTCAGCATGTAAGGAGAGAGGGAAGGACCTGAAATCGAAAAGAACCCGGCTTGGGGATGTTACATCACCTTGAGCTTTCGGAAAACAACCACACCACGCTGCAAGCGTGAGGGCTACAGGGGTTCCTTGGCTTGGCACAAGATGCTTGGCGGCATTGATTGGCTAGGCCCCTTCGGTGGAGCAGCAGCCTGATGGCCATGGGTGGGGAAAGTCCCATTGGAGAGGAAGTGGGGGTCACGTTGGTCTTTCAGGAGCCCTGGAGTGAAATTACGTTGTGCTGGAGTGCATTGCACAGGAATAGTTCTGTATATATGCCCTGAAGAAACCCATGCAGTCTGTTTTTGAAAGGAAAACATACTTTAAAAAAATTTTTTATTGTTTAAAATATTACATATATTAGTACATATATCCCCATTGTCCTTCCCCAGCCTCCCCTACCCCCTGTTGCATGCCCTCACCCTCCCCCAGTGTCTTGTGTCCATTTGCTGTGCTTATATGCATGCATACAAGTCCTTTGGTTGATCTATTAGAAAACATACTTATTAGTCGAACAGGGAAATGAGTTGGAACTTTATATATAATTATATATATATATATATATATATATATATATATATATATATATATATATATATTATTGATTTCAAAGAGGAAGGGAGAGAAAGAGAAAGAGAGTCGAACATCAATGAGGAGAGAACCATCGATCAACTGCCTTTTGCACGCCCCCTTACTGGGGATGGAGCCCACAACCCGGGCATGCGCCCTGCCTGGGAATTGAACCTTGACCTCTGTTCATAGGTCGATGCTCAACCACTGAGCCATGCCAGCCGGGCTGAGGGTAAAACTTTTTAGTGTGGCCCACAGATATACCTACCATTTGCATATAAGTATATACATTCTTTTTAGCCCTGACGACTCTTTGAGTTAGGTACTGTTTCTCCCTATCTCACAGAGTAAACTGAGGCAGAGAGAGATCACGTAACTTGCCCCAGGCTTGCAGCTATGAAGTGTTGAAGCTAAAATTCTCACTGGTGATCCGACTTCAGGGCAAGTCCTATTCCACCTCCCTCTGCAGAGAAGCAGGAGTTAAGGGCTTACTCTGCAGTTGTGTCTGAATGACCCTTTTCATTTGAGATATTTCTTTAAGAGAAAGATGTCTTTAGATGTGAGAACCTGTAATTAGGCCGGTCATATATTTTCTAGTCCAAACCAGAACCTCTTTGAGATCAAAAGAGGACACATAATTGGAAAAGGCAGCAACCAAAAAAACGGGCTCTTCTGGGCAAGCCGGAATGCATGGCACAGCGTTTAAACTGGTCTTCCCCAAAAGCCTTGGGGGGCAGTGTGTACCTCCTCTCAACAGCCTCTTCCTGGATATCTAAAGTCCA